TGCTGTGAGCTAGGCTGACGCCACGGCACTCACCGTAGCCAGGGCAACACAGTGAGACTCTGTCTCAAAAAAAAAAAAAAAAGCTTAGGCTGATAAAAAGCAAGTCAGTGAAGACAATTTCGGCCAAAGAGATTTCTTGTTTTTTAAATTCAGTATGTACGCTTCATTTTTAAAGATTGTTAATTCCTAATTTACGTTTTTGAATAGAGCTGAGTAGAAATTTATACTGAATAAAGCAAAAATTTGCAAAGCTAGATTTATTAGGGAAGCTTAAGAGAACCTCTTATTAAGTACTCTCGTTTACTTTAGAAGAATTTATATAAATAAACCAGGGTACAAATCATTCAGTGATGAAAATCAAGTCTTTTAAATGTTTTAAGGAGCACTTTGCTAATTTAATTATGATTATTCATGGTAGTGCAGAAACTTTAAAAGAATATTTAACAGATTTTATTGCTCTAGAATACAGATTTTCACTAATAATAGCATCACCTTTTTACAAAGAATTTCAATTAGAATCTGTGTCTAACATTAAGTTCTTAGTTTATGGAAATTCTCTGAATTTTTAAACCTAGTGTTAAATGGTGCAAACATGTGAGTTTTTTTAAGCTATGATTTAGACCTACCTATTGTGCCAAGCATTTTTTTTTTCCTTTCCCTGCTCTGTTGCCTGGACTAGAGTGCAGTGGCATCATCATAGCTCACTGCAACCTCAAACTCCTGGGCTCAAGCGATCCTCCTGCCTCAGCCTCCCAAAATGCTAGGATTACAGGCTTGAGCCACCACTCCCGGCTGGCAGGTTGCCAGTGGTGTTTGAGGTCTCCTTAGTTCACATCTGTGGACCTGATGTGGCTGCGCACCCTCAGCGGTTAGGCTTATTGTAAGTAAGTGTGCTCTGTTTGTTTAACCTGTGCTACTTTCTCTTTCAGACGGGGAACTGGTGCTTTTAAATCCAGAGTGGGACTGCCTGCGCCTGCTCCTGTTATCAATAGCAAATATGGACTCAGAGAAACAGATAAACGTTTAAATAGGCTTAAAAAGTTAGGTGACAGCAGCAAAAATTCAGACAGTCAATCTGTCAGCTCTAACACTGATGCAGATACAACTCAGGAAAAAAACAATGCAAGTAAGTAAGGGAGATTTGATAAGCATATCTTTAAGTATTTTCACACAGTTTGCTTTCTAAAGTGTGCTTCAGTAGTTTTAAACTTTTAAATATTGAGAGAAACCGGGACCCATGAGCGTTGGCAGCACTGCAAGGTTCTCGAAATGATTTGAGTACTAAGGCACACTCTGTATCCCAACTCCAAATTCAGTATCATACTCTAGACTGTTTTTCTTGATTGCTTGGTAACTGGATATTGAGTTCTTCATATGTTCCAGGGTCATCATATGTTTGAGAAAATCATTTTCAAGGTGTTAGTGACACTTTAATGATACCATTAGGCCCTACAAAAAGACAAAGGACTGTGTAGAATCATATAGGCTTATACATGTTCCAGTGTCTATCCAGGCTGTTTGGAAAAGATGATGGACTTAGGGAATTCATAGCATCTGGCCTCAAGGCTTACACCTTCCTACACTTGGTTACCTTTTTAAAAATGAACTAACCCAATTCACCAAACCACCAATTACCAGACTCAGAATTGTGATAGAGCATTTTGAATGTTGCTATAGTATGACATGTTGTATATTAACTACTACATAAAATAGGAAGAGAGATGAAAAGGAGAAAAAACCAAGCTTGGAGATAACAGTTGTTTGTGGGGACAAGATCTAATGGAAACTGGAAAAAGAGAATGAAGAATAAACAAAGAAAATAAAGAGAAGAAAATCTAAATGGGCAAAGGAAAACATCATGTTTGGGGAGCTTTCAAGTACTGGAACCATTCTAATTGCTACTGTTTTTCTGGGTAACACCAGTTTTCTGTAGTTGCCACTAAAGCAGTAGAATCTTCAGTCTGACTTGTCTCTGAGAGAGGCAGAAGTTGTAAAGTCTCACTTCGTGATTCCCAAAGTATGCCTGTATTGGCACTTTAAACGTCTAGTAAGACTTCTTAGCACTCAGGAAGCCAGCCCTCTGAGATACTGATTATTTTAGGCTCTTCTCCCTACTTTCAGATGTTCTCAGCCCAACACTGGGTGCTCCCTTCCCCTACAGAACATCCTGAAGAAAAGGGACGGTGTCTCCCATGATGGTGAATGTCACTGCCGTGAATTCCTGAATCTGCCTGCTGCTGGGAGCCAGAGGCCATGTGTAACCTCTGTAGTGGAAAAGCAGTACTGTAGTCCTATTCTAGTCTTTTTAGTTAATGTTCAAAGTGAACAAAAAAAGAAGAGTTAGTCAATCATTCACTGTTGACTGTTGATTCTAATAATAAATGCAGTGTAATGAACATTTGTTTTCTGAGTCTGGTTCCTTGGTGAAACTGGAGACTTCTGAAGCCCATTTTGTAAATGCATACATGAAAACATTTAAAAGCCAGGCATGATGGCACGTACCCGTAATCCAGCTACTTGGGAGGCTGAGGCAGGAGGATCACCTGAGCCTAGGAGTTCAATACCAGCTTGGGCAACATGGTGAGACCTTGTCTCTTTTTAAAAAAACAAAAACACACACACACTTAGGTATGTGCTGCCATCTGTACATGGAAGTGACCACAAAGCTACCCACGTTGAATGGCTCTGTGATGTACATGTGTTTTGTGCTTTTGTGCATTGACTTTATTACTAGTGTGTAGATACTGAACTTAGTATACTGCTTAGTTTAAAAGATCAAAATCCAAATAATGTTTGGAAGGTGTTGCATCTACTAATACATAGCCATTTATTAATAAATATTAAACCAAATATTGGGAAATATTTATTAATAAACCAAATAGTTATTAAGATTCTGCTAGTTCTTGAAAAGATACAAAGATGTTCAAGACTCAGGCTCTTCCCTCAGGAGCTTATGCCTTAGCTCCAGGGTAAGATGAGCGTATTAGTTACTACACAGAGCAGACTAGAAATGTCAGTTTCTCAAGTTTAGAGGGACTAGATGATCCCTTTGGGCTGTAGTTCTCAGCATTACAGCATAGAAATACAGCCCTTTGCAGTGACTGCTTACATTGGGGTGCTTGCTTTATTCAAATTACCTCTGCAGCATGATTGGAGTAATCTGAGGGCTGGTGTGACTAACATCGAGGTTATGGACAGATAGGTAGAGATGGCTCAGTGCTCTGGAGCTCGAGGCTCACTCATCTCTAAGACCCTTGTATATTCAATCATGTTCACGTGAGGATTTTCTCAAGTTCTTGTATTCTCTTAGGCTATATTTCTTTTGGTGTTTATGTCTCAACCATACCCTCTACCTCTGAAAGAAAAGCTTTTGGAAACTGCAGCTGGTAGCAAAGCCAGAGTTGGCAGAGCTCCTTTCCCAGGGTCAGCAGGTGCATGTTGTGTGTATAGGTGCTGAGCGCTTTTAATTTGTGTGATTGCTCATCTTTATCCTGCAGTTCACTTATAATTTAGCAGCTGATAAGAGGACCAGCTTTCTTTGAACAGCATGTATAAATAAATATTTCTACCTAGTTAGAAGAAAAAATATTTCCTCCTTCCATGCATGTGCTTTTTTAGAAGGTGTCTTGAGAACTACAGCTTGTTTGCTTTAGCATCCAGGAGTGGAGACAACAAGGAATCCATTTTCACAAATGCAGTCCACAGGTCTGAAATATTATGCAATTATTGGAGTATTCTAGTTTTTCCAGCCTCTTGTGCCTTGCTGGCTGGGCTGCCCCTTTATTAGTGCTGTGATACGGGATGTGAGACCAGAGGCTCTTGAGCAGTGTGGGAAGATGTGGACACAGGCCCTGCAGGTACCACAAGTCGGGACAAGCCCCAGAAGACTCAGCCAGTAGGAGAAGTTCTTCATAACTAAGGAGCATCTGTCCTAGACATAACAAGCAGGGGCACCAGTTCTCACTATCTCACCCATCACTGACATCACTAATTAATCAGAACATTTTTCTGCTAAGTCTACAGGCTGCTTCAAAGTTCCTTCCAGCACCCTGTTCCAGGTAGCCAGACCGTGTTGGTCACATTAGAGGAAAGCTACTTGTGCCTAGTAAACTCCTAGAGACTGAAGTCTGTAAAGTCCCATTGAGGGTTTTCTGGATTCTCAAGTTCTAGAGATGCTAAACTGCGTGTGCCCCGTATGTTATCTTGGTTCACATTGATAGTGTGCATTTCCTGTGCAATCTGAGCACTTGGGAAGGCTTTGGTGTCATTTTGCAGCTCTTACATCTGCTTGTAACTCTTGATGCCACACTGCCTTATGAATTTGAGGACACCCTGGAATGACCATGATAGTCATGCAGTGGGTCCCTTATCTGTGAGTTATGATACCATAGTAATTCAGTGGCATACCTTATAAGCAGCATAGCAGTGATTAAAAACTAGGGATCTTGATTTGAGCCACAGGCCTAAGTTCAAGTCCCATCCCTGCCACATACCAGATGGATGATCTTAGGCATGCTAGTCCATGTGAGCTTGGTTTTCACAAGGATTTAATAGCACTTCAAGGGTTTTTGTTAGGATTGACGTCATACTAATTTGGCCATTTTGCACAGCACCTATCATATATAGTAATTGCTAAGAAGGATGTGTATCCCCATCTGAAATTACCATCCAAGTTTATGCATTTGGGATTTGTCCCAGCCACTAGGAGAAGATAATCACATAAGGTGTATTAGTGCTGAAGCAAGGGTGTAACCACAGGCATATCTTGTCTCCACTGGTGCGTAATCCTTAGTATCTTGATAGACTTTTAAAAATTACTGACTTTTGGTTTGTCATTGTGGCCATAGTTTTCCTCACTGTCTGAAATTCTCAACCCCACCACCATCCCCCAAGGACAGCATAGCACCGTCTTTGGACAGTGAAGGACTCTTGGCACTCTGTTGGACTCTCATCTTAGTCACATTGCTCACATTTCTCTTGCCTGGTTTATCTGTGTCTTTTTTGGCCTTTGCCTTGATGAGCATACCTTTTGACTAGGCTTTTGATGAAGTAATGCTTTTCAAACAAAAGGAGAATACGGTGATAAATGTACAACCATACAAGTGCAATCTCTACTGAAGTAATACATAGCATCAAAGGCAGTCCATTTTGTGCTCAGTTTAGACACAAACACGTGAAAGAGCTTTGGTATACTACTGCCAACAGTGAATCTTTTGGCAGGAGGGATGGGACGGAGAGAGCCTGGATTCAGAATCACCACAAAATAGGATTTCATCTAATGGATAAAAATAAGAAGTGCCAAGTAAGGAGAGTCTTGGGTCCTGTGAGAATACATAGGAAGGATACCCTGTCTTTCCGAAAAAGCCCCAAAAGGCTCCCTGAAAGAGGTGTGGCCTAAGCTGAGTCTTAGGGAGATGAGAAGTTCACCAAGTGAGGCATGTTCAGAGCAGAGGGACTTCCATGCAATGATATGGTCAAGTGGAGGACTTGAATAAAAGTTGACTGTACTCCAGCGCCATCACTGGAGTACAAGGTGGGAAGGAGAGATGTGACCAGAGTTTTAAATTTTAGACTTTATTCTTAGGGCATTAGGGTACTACTGACAGGTTTAAAGCCCAGAAATGACATGATATACTGGGAAAATCCTTCTGGCTACACAGTAGATAACAAGATTGTTGGGAGAGAGAGCAAGCAGACATACATAGTTCAGGCAGGAGACCGTGGCATTTGGGACAGGGAAGAGTGGATGGGTTGCAGTGACGTTGCAGGGGTGGACTCCATAGGATGTGGTGACTGGATGAGACAGGGAAAGTGAGAGTGAAGAATGACCTCTAGTTTTCTGGTCAGGCAGCTGGGCAGATGGTGGTTGTACTGCCTAAGATGGAGAACTTGGAAGGGGAAGCTTTCAGGGGACTTGACGGTGAGCTCAGCCTAAGCATGTTGACTGTGAGGGGCTTAGAGACAGCTTCAGTCAGCATTGGTGATCTGGATCTATCATTTAGGAGAGTGGCTAGAGAAAGGAGTTAGGGAATTGTCAGCATGTAAGTGGTAATTGGCTGTGGGGCCGTGGGTGCTTATCAGCTGGGGGGGGGGGCGGCCCAAGGAATGATAGTCTACGGGCAGGTGGAGGGGGAGTGCTAGGGATGGGGCAAGGAAGCCCAGGGGAGTGTGCTCGTTGACAGCCTAAGGAAGAGAGAACTTCTCAAGAAAAATTGGTTATCAGTGTCACATTCAGAGAAATGATGGGCTGAGAAGTGTTCATTGGATTTTATAACGAGGTCATCAGATTGGCAGGTGCCGTCGTGTTGGAGGGGCAGACGGGATCCAGGTTGCAGGGGATTGCGGTGGAGAACGTCATACGTGATCACTGAGTAGGGGTGATTGCAGGTATGTATTAAGAATGGTATGGAAAGAGGAAGAATAAGATTGAGAACCACTTAGCTTGCTCAAACATCAGTCCTTGAAGAGGCACAGGGTGAGTGAAGGCACATCATGGCCACACTTGGGAAAACCAAGCAAATGGCGCCAGACAAATGCAGTTGTGTCCTAGGTTTTGCCTGGAAACAAGCAAAACACTAGTGCCTATTTATATTAACTGTGCATCTACTCAGTCCACCTTGTAGGCAAGCCATGTAAGCATAAAGTCCTTTAACAAAAGAATTCCCCTAAACATCCTGATGTTAAAAAATATTTTCTACCAAGTAGTTCCGTATAATTCCAGTTCATAATAAATCACTCGTTCTCAAACTGGATGGTACTCAAACTTCACTACTCCTCTAAAATAAGTTGCCCCCTTGTTAGCAGCCCACATGTATAAGTGTGTTCTTGGTTCAATCATTGGAGCTCTTCGCAATGAATTCTGGTAGTGTAGGTACCCTGAAGCCATTTATGATCCAATCTCTGAGTACAGAGCCTTCTATTCTTGGTGGTTTGATATTTTTGGAATGCTTGTTATGCATTCTTGCTCCTCTCTCAATAAAAACTAATGGTAACTTACTTGCTTAGCCAGGCAGAAGGAATGGCAGTTGCCCTGGCAACCCTCAGGCATGTTGGAAGCGACAAACTTTCTCCGCAGGATCCTGATCCTTTCTCTGGGCCGGCAGTGTGCTGGCCTTACCCATGTGCCTTGTTCTTGTTCTCCCTGTTTTCTGGTGAGAGGTGGTGAAAGTTAATTCGGTCATTTTGGCTTCCCTAGTGAAGGGAACATCCTTAAAGGATGTGTTGATCAGGAAGAGGTTTTTGAAGTGGGAGATGCGGGAACTAAGTAATTGAGAAATTGACTTGTGTAAAATTATAAATAATAGTTCAGAATGTAAATGTAGAGGAAAAAAATAGCAGAAAGTCACTGGCAAGGCCAGAGACTCACTGCAGTCAGCTTACACTTGAGTCACACGTAAAGCCTTTGAGAAGTTATTGCAACCTTTCTGTATCCTTGTCCTGGAGGAAAGAAGTAGTGTGCCTTTTGTCCTGAAGCGTGGCATTCTAGCAGCGTGCCGCAGCTCTCTTTCAGTTCGACTGTCGGCTTCAGGCAGTCACCGAATGGATGGGCCCCCGTCAGTCCTGCAGCTCAGTGATCACTGAGCCGATCTGACAGCTCAGTCATCTTCTGGTCCTCACAGACGTGAAGGGAACGACTAACGATAATCAGCACTTTTTGGTAGTGACAGTGTACTTTCTGGAGTAACAAAATACGGATCTTAGGATCTGTTTTTCTTGTTTGAAACCATTGTAATAGAATTTGTCTCTTAGAGCCTATTAGTAACATATTTCAACATATTTCTGTCCTGTATTACTGGCCAAGTACTGTACTTACTTCGGGTTAATGAGTAATGGGTTTTAGAAACATACTTAAAATGACAATTTTAAGAAGAGTTTGTGAAAGAAAAGAAAACCATGATTTTTACTTAGCTTTTCTTCAAATCTTCCATGTGGGAAAACACTAAATCAAGAGAAAAAGGCCTTCGTTTGGACCAGCATCATGACAGATTAAGGAGAAGCTTAAAGTGAAATCTAGGTCCCTGCTGTGCTAAAAGCTCCTAACTTATCTCAAAAATGAATAGATGCCTATAAATTAGAAAGAGAACTTCAAAGAAAAGCTGTATAGGGAATGTGTGTGTGCCGGCAAAATCTGAACTGGTGTCTGTTTTCCACGTCTGTATAATCGAAACATACTATAGCTAATAGTCTGGTTTAGGACATTGTTTTGTTGAACCCTGCTGTGTTGCCAAGGCTGTTTTTCACCTTTTTTTTTTTTTTTTAAACCTTACAGCTTCTAACCGAAAATCTTCCGTTGGTGTGAAAAAGAACAGCAAGAGCAGAACGTTAACAAGGCAGTCTGTGTCGAGAATTCCCACCTCTTCCAGCTCTACCTCATCCAAGCTAACTCACATAAATAATTCCAGGGTACCAAAGAAACTGAAAAAGCCTGCAAAGCCTTTACTCTCAAAGATAAAATTAAGAAATCATTGCAAGCGGCTGGAGCAAAAGAATGCTTCAAGAAAACTCGAAATGGGAAATTTAGTACTTAAAGAGCCTAAAGTAGTTCTGTATAAAAATTTGCCCATTAAAAATGATAAGGAGCCGGAGGGACCAGCCCAAGCTGCGGTTGCTAGCGGGTGCTTGACCAGGCACGCAGCACGAGAACACAGACAGAATCCTGTACGAGGTGCTCATTCGCAGGGGGAGGGCTCGCCCTGCACCTACATAACCCGGCGGTCAGTGAGGACAAGAACGAGTCTGCAGGAGGCCTCTGACATCAAGCTTGAACCAGATACGTTGGATGGCTATAAAAACAGTGTGGCGGAATCTTGCCCCGACAGCGTGGAGCAGCCAGCTCCCGCGGTGCAGGAAGAAGAACCGGCTCATGAGACTGCACAAAAGGGTGAGACAAAGTGTCACAAAAGTGACACTGGCGTGTCCAGAAAGAAGTCACGACAAGGAAAACTTGTGAAGCAGTTTGCAAAAATAGAGGAATCCACTCCGATGCATGATTCTCCGGGGGAAGACGATGCGGTGCCAGGTCTGATGGGACCCCATTCTGCCCAGGGCGAGCACAGTGGCACGACAGGTGTGCCTGTGAGCTATGCAGACTGTGCTCCTCCTCCTGTCGGTTGTGCGGTGGTTACATCAGATAGCTTCAAAACAAAAGACGGCTTTAGAACTGCAAAAAGTAAAAAGAAGAGGCGCATTACAAGGTATGATGCACAGCTGATCCTAGAAAATAACTCTGGGATTCCCAAATTGACTCTTCGGAGGCGTCACGACAGCAGCAGCAAGACAAATGACCAAGAGGGTGACGGAATGAATTCTTCAAAAATAAGCATCAAGTTAAGTAAAGACCATGAAAATGATAATAATCTCTACGTAGCAAAGCTTAATAATGGATTTAACTCAGGATCAGGCAGTAGTTCTACAAAATTAAAAATCCAGCTAAAGCGGGATGAGGAAAGTAGGGGGTCTTATGCAGAGGGGCTTCATGAAAATGGGGTGTGCTGTAGCGACCCTCTTTCTCTCCTGGAGTCTGGAATGGAGGTGGATGAGTACAGTCAGTATGAGGAAGAAAGTACAGATGATTCCTCCTCTTCCGAGGGAGATGAAGAGGAAGATGACTATGATGATGACTTTGAAGATGATTTTATTCCTCTTCCTCCAGCTAAGCGATTGAGGCTCATAGTTGGAAAAGACTCTATAGATATTGACATTTCTTCAAGGAGAAGAGAAGATCAGTCTTTAAGGCTTAATGCATAAGCTCTTGGTCTTAATTTGACCTGGGATAACTGCTTCAAAGAAATAAAAAATTCCAGTCAATTATTCCTCAACTGAAACATTTTAGTGGCAGCACTTCTATTGTCTCTTCACTTATCAGCATAATATTGTAGAAAGTGTACAGCATACTGACTCTTCTTAAGTCTGATTTGTGCAAATTTTTATCGTACTTTTTAAATAGCCTTCTTACGTGCAATTCTGAGTTAGAGGTAAAGCCCTGTTGTAAAATAAAGGCTCAAGCAAAATTGTACAGTGACAGCAACTTTCCACACAGGACGTTGAAAACAATAATGTGGCTACACAATTTTTTTTTTTTTAACTTTAAGAGCATCAGTTGGCTCTTTAATATGTGTCTAAATAATAATTTAAAACAAATCATAGTAGCAGCATATTAAGATTTTCTAGTATGCTAATATCACCAGCAACGATCTTTGGCTTTTTGATTTATTTGCTAGATGTTTCCCCTCCTTGGAGTTTGTCAGTTTCACACTGTTTGCTGGCCCAGGTGTACTGTTTGTGGCCTTTGTTAATATAGCAAACCATTGGTTGGGAGTCAAATTGGTTTCTTTAAAAAAAAAAAAAATACATTTACACGCGTGACAGCTCACTTTTCAGTACATTATATGTGCAAAGGTAGCAGTGTGCAGGATGAGTTTCGATACGGCGTATTTATTGCTTGTCATGTAAATTAAAGACCTTGTATTTAACTCTTTTCAATCCTTTTAGATAAAATTGTTCTTTGCAAGAATGATTGGTGCTTATTTTTTCAAAATTTGCTGTGAACAATGTGATGACAACAGGCAGCGTTTATCTGATGAACTACAGCTATCTTAATTTGGGTCTTCAAGTTTTCTGTTGCACTTGTAAAATGCTACAAGGAATATTAAAAAAATCTATTCACTTTAACTTATAATAGTTTATGAAATAAAAACATGAGTCACAGCTTTTGTTCTGTGGTAACCTATAAAATGTTTGTCTTTGAAATTCAGTGTAAACAACTGAGAACAATGTATATGTTGTAAATATTTGTGTGTTGTGAGAAATTTTTGTCATAAGAAATTAAAAGAACTTACCAGGAAGGTTTTTAAGTTTAGAAATATTCATGCCAATAAAATAGGAAATTATAAATATATAGTTTTAAGCACTGCATCAGTGGGAGTTCTTGGCTTATGTTAGTTTATTATGAAAATATCAAAGATTTTTTGACTATATTTTCAGTGAAACAAAAGAGTCAGATTTAATTTGTTTTTTGAAGCACTTTGAGAAGAGAAATTAATTTTAAGTAACTTAATGAGAGCAAATTTTTGATTACTACTTTATGTTCAATACCAGGCTCTTTTCATTTCTCTGGATTACTTTACAAATCACGGGGCAAAGGATTTGGGAATATAAGTCTGTAACAGGTGTTTGACACCAGTGGGTCTCTATTTCTGGGAAATGTGTGTGTGTACTTTCAGATACAGTGTTCCTAAGTAAAATCCATTTAGGGGATTTGTATAGTATCTATAGAAAAGTAGCCCATGTCTTAAAATATTAAAAGGAATCTGCAGGTAATGAAAAGTCCAATGGAGAAAAACCTCAATGCTTAGTGTTACTACTAATTGATTCCTACCAGTTTGCAGGTTTGAGGGACATTATTTAAATTAAGCTCCTTAAACCTCTTGCCCATAGGTTCCAAATAGAAATTAATAAGGTTCATTAAAAGTTTTTAAAGTTTAGGTTGTTTTCGCCTATGTTCTCCAAGGAATTACTTCCGTAGTCTTACATGGTCTCATCCTTGTTTGTTATGGTGCAGTCTAATTCCTCAGGTATTAATTTGGAAGCACATAGTAGACTTCCTTCCACCCACAGCCCCTTCTGCTGCATCTGGAGGTCGTCACCTCATGAGGTGTGGCAGCCACAGCCAGTCCTCTTGGGCTCCCTGTGTAGAAGCATGAGACCCTGTGTCTGGAGAGTGCTGGAGGGCAGTGGGGCGCCTCTTCTTTCCCTACCTTAGTTGGGGGTGTTTTGAAGAGTTTCAGAGACTAACACTTTATTTGAATACCACCAATAGCCATTTCAGGAATTTCCATCTTAAGAAAAAAGTAACAATACATTTCCCATTTTTCTTCATTTTTAAGCTTAATTTTAGTAACTTATTTATGATATTTTAATTTTATTGTGGCCTCGTCTTTTGAGGCTGACCTTCCCATGGGTCTCAGAGCAGTGACATTTGGTGACGAATCACTGCCTCTCAGGAGTTGGTATGCACAAGCACTCAGCAGCCACTGTTGATGCCTTCTAGGGAAACCTAATTTCCGTTTTTAAAGGTAGGGGCCTCCGAACTGTTCTAGATCTGCTGTAGAACTTCACTGTGCGGAATGGTGAAATCCACACACTGTTGACCAGTTTGGAAGAGGTTGCATCAATAAAACTTTTAGCTTGAGCTTATGCAATGATTCGTTAAGATTTTGGCATTGTAAGAATTAGGAAATGATCATAGAAATATATGTAAAGTATTCAATTTTCAATCATTTTTCAAATTACTGTTTTAAATTGTTTTGCTGAGTTGTAATACTTTTGAGATACAATGTATTCCTTGTACTGAAAGAATGAAAGGACTTTTTCAGCATTTGAGGTAAGTTCTTTAACGTTTCATTAAAAACATTTTTTACAAATATTTTGTACATGCACTTGCAGTATTGAGGTTAATCATTTTAATAAATTCGGAAATTAAAACAGTTTGGCCGGTGTTCGCTGTATCTGAAAAGAAAAAATCAAAAGTGGTGACTTCAAGAAGTGTTCATGTAAAATACAGAATCAAAGTTTCTAAAGCTTTTCACTATCTCTGAGTGTTGAGTTCTCTACTCCCTGGTCTTCTCTTGTTTCTTGTGCCACTCAGTCTTCTCTCAGCAGGGAGACTCCTTTTTAAGTTACATACCCTTCTAGCCCTTGAACTCAAGAAATACTTGCCCTCGAATGGAACAAAATAACATTTGGGTGCTTTTACAATCCATTTAATGGTTTCTAGTTACTGGTTTTCCCCCCTCACTGTATTGGACAAAACTAGCAGCATATCCAGAATTAGCATGGGTCCTTCTTTCTGCCATTTACTGTTGCAAAACCTATTTGGAAGGAAGGAAATATGACTGGTATAGGAATCAGGAAATGAATTTGCCCAGCTCTGCAACATCTGAGTAGCCCTGAGCAAGCAGCTTAATCTCTAAATCTTTTCTAGCACCTAGCACAATTCTCAGAAGTTAGTGTGGACACTGGGTCCTGTCACCAGTTAAGTTTCAGGCTGAACCGCATTCACTTTTTGTGGGGGGAGGACAGAGTTTCACTCTTGCCCGGGATAGAGTGCAGTGGCATGATCATAGCTCGCTGCAACCTCACACTACGGAGCTTAACTTATTCTCCCAAGTAGCTAGGACTACAGGCATGTGCTACAACGACTGGCTAATTTTTCTATTTTTAGTAGAGACAGGGTCTTCCTCTTGCTCAGGCTGGTCTCAAACTCCTGACCTCGAGCAATCGTACTTTGTCTTCCCAGAGTACTAGGTTTACAGGTGTGAGTCACCGTGCCTAGCCCTGCATCCACTCTTGAGGATAATCTGGGTGAATGGTACAGACCAGGCAAAGCGTTGACTTTTCCTAATTGATCAAAATACCTGACCAAACTTGGGTTTCCAGTATGGAAAAGGCTAAAACATGACAATAAGAAATTAAAAGAACTTACCAGGAAGGTTTTTAAGTTTAGAAATATTCATGCCAATAAAATAGGAAATTATAAATATATAGTTTTAAGCACTGCATCAGTGGGAGTTCTTGGCTTATGTTAGTTTATTATGAAAATATCAAAGATTTTTTGACTATATTTTCAGTGAAACAAAAGAGTCAGATTTAATTTGTTTTTTGAAGCACTTTGAGAAGAGAAATTAATTTTAAGTAACTTAATGAGAGCAAATTTTTGATTACTACTTTATGTTCAATACCAGGCTCTTTTCATTTCTCTGGATTACTTTACAAATCACGGGGCAAAGGATTTGGGAATATAAGTCTGTAACAGGTGTTTGACACCAGTGGGTCTCTATTTCTGGGAAATGTGTGTGTGTACTTTCAGATACAGTGTTCCTAAGTAAAATCCATTTAGGGGATTTGTATAGTATCTATAGAAAAGTAGCCCATGTCTTAAAATATTAAAAGGAATCTGCAGGTAATGAAAAGTCCAATGGAGAAAAACCTCAATGCTTAGTGTTACTACTAATTGATTCCTACCAGTTTGCAGGTTTGAGGGACATTATTTAAATTAAGCTCCTTAAACCTCTTGCCCATAGGTTCCAAATAGAAATTAATAAGGTTCATTAAAAGTTTTTAAAGTTTAGGTTGTTTTCGCCTATGTTCTCCAAGGAATTACTTCCGTAGTCTTACATGGTCTCATCCTTGTTTGTTATGGTGCAGTCTAATTCCTCAGGTATTAATTTGGAAGCACATAGTAGACTTCCTTCCACCCACAGCCCCTTCTGCTGCATCTGGAGGTCGTCACCTCATGAGGTGTGGCAGCCACAGCCAGTCCTCTTGGGCTCCCTGTGTAGAAGCATGAGACCCTGTGTCTGGAGAGTGCTGGAGGGCAGTGGGGCGCCGCCTCTTTCCCTACCTTAGTTGGGGGTGTTTTGAAGAGTTTCAGAGACTAACACTTTATTTGAATACCACCAATAGCCATTTCAGGAATTTCCATCTTAAGAAAAAAGTAACAATACATTTCCCATTTTTCTTCATTTTTAAGCTTAATTTTAGTAACTTATTTATGATATTTTAATTTTATTGTGGCCTCGTCTTTTGAGGCTGACCTTCCCATGGGTCTCAGAGCAGTGACATTTGGTGACGAATCACTGCCTCTCAGGAGTTGGTATGCACAAGCACTCAGCAGCCACTGTTGATGCCTTCTAGGGAAACCTAATTTCCGTTTTTAAAGGTAGGGGCCTCCGAACTGTTCTAGATCTGCTGTAGAACTTCACTGTGCGGAATGGTGAAATCCACACACTGTTGACCAGTTTGGAAGAGGTTGCATCAATAAAACTTTTAGCTTGAGCTTATGCAATGATTCGTTAAGATTTTGGCATTGTAAGAATTAGGAAATGATCATAGAAATATATGTAAAGTATTCAATTTTCAATCATTTTTCAAATTACTGTTTTAAATTGTTTTGCTGAGTTGTAATACTTTTGAGATACAATGTATTCCTTGTACTGAAAGAATGAAAGGACTTTTTCAGCATTTGAGGTAAGTTCTTTAACGTTTCATTAAAAACATTTTTTACAAATATTTTGTACATGCACTTGCAGTATTGAGGTTAATCATTTTAATAAATTCGGAAATTAAAACAGTTTGGCCGGTGTTCGCTGTATCTGAAAAGAAAAAATCAAAAGTGGTGACTTCAAGAAGTGTTCATGTAAAATACAGAATCAAAGTTTCTAAAGCTTTTCACTATCTCTGAGTGTTGAGTTCTCTACTCCCTGGTCTTCTCTTGTTTCTTGTGCCACTCAGTCTTCTCTCAGCAGGGAGACTCCTTTTTAAGTTACATACCCTTCTAGCCCTTGAACTCAAGAAATACTTGCCCTCAAATGGAACAAAATAACATTTGGGTGCTTTTACAATCCATTTAATGGTTTCTAGTTACTGGTTTTCCCCCCTCACTGTATTGGACAAAACTAGCAGCATATCCAGAATTAGCATGGGTCCTTCTTTCTGCCATTTACTGTTGCA